TATATATATGACTTTTGTGCGTAGGCACAAAACACGAGATTGAAATATATGTAAAGGCAAGTAAATGAAAGCGCGAGAGAAAGAGAACTGTTGGATACGTTTCATTTTGACCTTTTTTTATAGTAAATAGTGGCTAATACTATTTTGATTTATTATTCAGAAAAAGTATTCTAATGTACGTAATTGTACGTCAGAATGCTTGCAAGCTTCGAACCTCCTGACCTCCTGTAGAAGGGCAGTACTCCAATGACATCATTAAGAATGCTGCTTTTGTCCGAAGAAATCCAGGGCGATTCGTAAAGCGACAACGTCAACGACTGAAAGAGCGAGCGTGCATGAGTGAATAATGTCTATACTCCTGCCGAAAAAAGCCCTTCCTAAAGTTTCCTGATTCCGATCGTCCTACTTCGAGCTTCTTTTTCCGCTTCCCCGTATTCCTCCTTCGACACTTCTACGCGAACGGAAACAGTAATGTTACCAAATCCATTTTCGTCCCTGACACAGCCCCTTACCAACCACTCAATCGCATTCAACAATAGTTAGGTTCATACGTAGCGTGTTTTTGCCATTGGTGCTGGAGGCTGTAGATTCTATACGAAATATTACTGTAGGAGGCTAGATAAAAAGAAAAAAAGCTAGCGAACGAAGCATGATGATGATCGAGAGGATGACAACGACAGCAGCAACAATAACAACAACAAAAACGGAACAAAATAAAAGAAAGGTGCCGCAGTCATATGTGAAGTGGTTACATATAAACTTAATGCAGCTGTTTGTTTGATTCATAGAAACGTAGACAAAGATGACGACGGGTGACAAATGTTAATGGGAACGAAGACGATATACAATGGACAGGAATGATGATCCCAAGCATATTTAATGACTTTGTAGATCAACTGAGTGGCAGTGGAAGCAAATTATTGGTATGAGCGCAAGGGCGAATGAAAGAAAGTATATAGGAAGAACATAGAGTGAAGGCTGGCCCATGGTTGGACGTTGTGGGAAGAACGTCCTCTGTTGTAACTACTTCCGATGGATCAATGGCGAGTTAGTTTCATTGAATGGATCGCACGCCACGTTGCGGAGAATGAAGAACTTCCGCACTGTTATGCCCTTGACGCCTCGCCGAACGATTTTTTCAGAACGGAGATTGGAACGGCATGAATGAAGAGAGTTAATAAAGATAAGCACAATACTTGACTCCTTAATGTTGGTGTTTTCCTTAAAAATACTATGTACGCTCTGATTGTATATTCATCTGATCTATATTTATTTATTTAAACGAATGACCATATAGTAGTTTTCAGAAACGGCTTAAAAAAATACGCTAGAAACCAGACACAGTTTTCTTAATGTTAACGCGTCATTGCAGAATTGTGGACATATTTTAAGATCAGGTTGCCATATACAAAATGCCGCAATACGTTTTAGAAAGGATTTAGAAAGAAAATTTATTATCAACAGTTATTTAACACTGTACAATATCTCTTGAGATTTTCGTCAGAAAACTTACCGCATGCATTATTACTTCTTAAAATTAGCTATTCGATCAAAGGTCTATTCACTTGAAAATTTCACAACATTAAAATTACGTTCAAAAAAAGAAATGACGGGACAAAGTGGCTAGTGTTATTTGCCCTCGGTGGCAACAAAAAAAAACCACTTCTGCTTACTCAGTAGAAAGTTATAAACACTGCCAGTCGACTAACTACATGCTCCACTCAAACTCATACGTGTTTCGTAGGATTCATTCGCTGCCAGTGCTATGGTTTCTGCGATGCTGTAGTAGTCTTCTTACCTTAGTTATACGTGGAAGATTCGAGACTGAACCTAGGCACAATTTGCGCGCCAAGAGCCAGTCTTCTTGAGCTATGCTAAGCTGCAGTACAAGAAAATTTCTTAAACCATTTATGAAATTCCACATTCTACTGCGTTTTCTAATCTAACCTAACACAAATTGATCCCTACCGGAACGATTCGTTGCAGTGTAGTCCTGTGCCGTTTCTGCTACTGTTATATTTTTCCCAATTGGAGCTCCCCAAATCGTCTGTCTCATTTAAATGATCGCGCTGTTCGACTCCCTGACCAGGTTGTTATGCTTATTCCATTATTTACCTGTTGAAGCAATTCGACTGGATTGTTTCAGTATGCTTACTCCGATGATTCAATCAACAACTGTGATTCTGCTTCTGCTAGTTTTCTATAATGACTGTACTATTTCGTTACCCTGTAGCTGCTGTTGCATTGCTTTGATTACCTTGCATTCTCATCGCCGGTAATCAATCATTCTGCCACCGTTAATCTATCACCCTAACACTTTAATGTATCCCAAAATGAAACCAGCCCTTTCACGAACATTCAGGCCGAATACGCAGCTATCAGCACAAAACTAGAAACCATCGTCCTTTTTGATTTGTTCAAAATACCGAGTTACTAGAAAGGAACGCTTGGTTACGTAGTTGTCTTCCCTCCAGGATAAACAAAGCTATTCTTAAATACCGTTCAAATATGGTATCATTGTAAGGTCAATATATTAGAGCGGTGTGCTGACTAAAAGCGTTTTTCATTTAGTAACGCAACGTAACGGAAGGTTAATGTTTTTTAAAACTGCGTCAAAATTTCTTTAAAAATTAAGCATACAACAAATAGATTTTATTTTACGGATTAACCTTAACTAATTTCACCCGTGGGTTAAAGTGGCCTCAAAGATTTTCTATAATGGCTAGGTTTGGACGGTCACGCACGCCCTGTATACGATATCTCCCGCAAACAAAGATTTTGTTGAAACAGGGGAAGTTCTCAAAAAAGTTTAATTCAAATGGGGTACCTTTTAATGGATTTTCGATTAGATAATGCGAGCAGACTTTAAAAGATTGGTTCAAAAGAAGTCATATCACTGTTCTGAGCACGTCTCCAGGAAAACCTAACTTACAGGTTATATAAAGTCTTTGAGAGTACCTGAGCCTAGATAAGATATACTGAGGTAAACCTCAAAAGAATATAGGCAAGAACGAAATTTACTCGATGCCTGATTCGTCTCCAAGTCGTAGTATTTCTAAATGAAGTAATTAAGGCTGAATGAAGTAATGAAACATGTTCTAAAATTAAAAAAAAATTAAAGAAATTATTACATTTGCGCTACTTTACGCTAAGAAATAAGAAGTGTCTCCAATTTTATACTATACTCTAACTGCAATTATTTAACGATTTAAATCTTACGTAAGTGTTTTTATAAGTATTTTATGGAGAAATAATGATCTTCGAAAGCTCGCTACTATCTCATTATTCGATATTTTACTAAAGACCTAAAAATTTGCCTATAACATGGCGTTAAACGCTATGAAAAATCTTTTTTCATCAAACCAACGCTTTGCTTCTATCGTACAGGGATAGAACAATTAAATAAGTTTCGAATTGGTATCGATTTTTTTCGCACAAAATCTAAACAGTTACCACAAAAACCATCCAAAAATGCCACCTGTTAGTTTATGACATTATCTATGTTTTCGTACAGGACAAAGATGTCGGCAATTTTTTGAGAAACGTCGCTGTCATAGCAGCTGTTTGTTCACTTTAGCGGCTGTCCACTTAATGCTGGGCTTTTAGTTTAATGCGTTTCGGTGTCCGGCAAATGGCGGGCAGGCCTGCTTGTCATTCCGTCAGGCCCGGTTCCGGCTATCGAAAAAAGATGCGTTCATTCAAACAGCTGTTGTTGTCTGCTGTTTTATTTACATTTGCGAGTGGCTGGTGCCACGACAGCGGCAGAGGGGTGGCGGACAGTGTTGTGGTGTTGGATGATCTGTTCTATGCAGCTCACAGCTTGGAGTGAAAAAGGTTCAACTCGATCCGTAGCCCCGCATTTTATTATTTCGAGTGGCGCCAGTCTGCTATTTGGTTTTTCATTTTGTGTATAAAATCTATGCGCAGTAATAAGAACTGTCAATCGTTTTAGTTGCCCGGCCAAAACAAGTGCCAGCCGGGACTGTGCCGCCTGTGTTCCCGCATCCGCAGTTCTCAAGAACAACAGAGTCGCTGCCACTGCCAACGCCGTCATACCAACAGCAGGGCAGCGATCATGTTAACTAAATTCGAGACTAAAAGTGCTCGGGTGAAGGGTCTGAGCTTCCACCCGCGCCGACCATGGATTCTTGCCTCACTTCACAATGGCGTCATCCAGCTGTGGGACTACCGGATGTGCACGTTACTTGATAAATTCGACGAACACGAAGGCCCTGTGCGAGGTATCTGTTTCCATAATCAGCAACCATTATTCGTGTCGGGTGGTGACGATTATCAAATTAAGGTGAGCAATTTCTTCGAGTGTAATAGATTTTTCAGTGGTCAGAATTTAGCAATAGGCAGTGTCGAAACAAAACCATCCTATATATTGATCCCTCCCCACATCTCACGTTTCATAGAAGGCTGCCGCCGGCTGATGTGCCTGGGAACTTACAATAGAGCGTCAATACCGCACACTACCAGTTCTTACTATACGACGAGATAATCCTTTCACAGATTAGCACGAAGACTTTATGAAGGTTGTCTAATAATAGCAAGATATATTAATTCGAATTTAGTTTGCTATGCGTGTAATGTTCATGTCGTGGTTAGAAACGGATTTTTTTCATTATCTACCGATCGGAAATGGGACATCGCTGTTCCACCTCTGACGTGTCCACTGTTAAGCTGACAGTATCTATACGAATGGGCAAGGCGCAGAAAATATGTTCCAGTGCAAAATTCAGGGAAAGAACTCTGTCGCTGTTGAAATATAGTGATCAATGACAGTTTAATATGTTGCAATTAGTTTCTCCCAGTTACAATAACGGATTCTTCATGCTTTAATGAAAAAAAAAATCGATCTATTAGCTGATCTTTTCATTGTATACGGATCAAGATTTACGGATAGTGTAACCGGCTAGTTTTCAAACTCGGCTTACCCAGACTATTGATAGAAGATTGGTACCCATCAGGCCCGGTATTCATTATCCGTTGGGTCTGATTTCTTTATTGTTATATTGTTACATAACAGTTAACTTGGAAAAACAATGGTAAAGGTCGTTCCATTATTTTAATAAGGTTTTCTCTTGAACAGAATGACCGATAGGCTAAAGTTAATGATAAATGTTTTTTGCGTGATCATCTATCTTTAAATCGCTGTAACTTATTTTGGTATATTTACTTCAGTGAATTGCGCATGATTTCTCTCACGGGAATTCAATAAAAAAAAAGTATTCCTCTTAGCTAACGATAATAACTAGAGCCCATTTCATTGGTTACGAAATAATCTTATCTTATAATCAAAAGCTTGTCTTACATAGCAGTTATTTCAAAAAAAATCTTGCGTGATTTCTTTTGATACCAACATCATACTGAATAGCTTTCAGTCTTTTTTATCCAGTGAGTCTAGGGCTTTGATTCAGCTATATTCGACATACCTGTTTACAAACGCAAAAAGACTGATTCAACATTTACTTTCTGCATATTGTATCGTTTTTTAGATAATGATGACGTTTGTAATGCATATTGATCTATCGTTTCTCAAGTTCATAATTTGATTATCACATGTTAATCTTTCCGTTTTTTATCATTATGTATGTACTTTGCTCAATGACAGGTATGGAATTACAAGCAAAGGAAATGTATTTTCACGTTACTCGGTCACCTCGATTACATTCGGACAACGACATTCCATCACGAATACCCCTGGATATTATCGTCGTCTGATGATCAGACAATTCGTATTTGGAACTGGCAGAGTCGCACATGCATTTGTGTTCTCACAGGTAGGCATTTGTTTTAGCTTATCCTCCTATTAAGGTATATTATATACAGTCAATGTAAATTTACATACATCACACAAATTTAATCAAGTCCCGATTCGTAGTGTATAAGGAGAACTAATTCCAAATATTAGTTTTTGCCTTCAACATATCTAGATATACGCATCGAAAAAGTAGCTGTCATTATTTTGGTTGTAATGCGTCGGTTCCAGGCCACACGCATTATGTCATGAGTGCCCACTTTCACCCCTCCGAGGATTTAATGGTGTCAGCGTCATTGGATCAAACCATCCGAGTCTGGGATTTGCAAGGTCTTCGTAAAAAGAACGTCGCTCCCGGACCCGGAGGCCTGGAAGAACATCTCAGAACGCCTGGCCACACCGACCTGTTCGGTACGTCCGACCTACTAAGTAAGGGATAAAATAAGTATATTTTTCCGATCTGTCTCCCCGTATACAGATCTTCTGCTTGTTCATCGGGAATGTCTCAGGTTTAACATCGTAACTAAATGCATTCTGAGATGAAAATCGAATCGGCGTAAAATACGACAATACGGCCTAACAAAACTAACATCAGGTGAGAGCAGAATATTTAGTCCGTTGAGTATCAGCGAATGTATCTGTATTTTGGGTTTCTGTTAATTTCTATGGGAGTACTATGTTGGCACATTTTAGCTTCCGCATGTGACTACATCGTCTGTCAACTTAAATTGTAATAGATAAGTATACAAAAAAACTATATCACAATTCCATTTCTTCGTTGTGTTTTTTCTATATCGTAACTAAACCGAGAAGTATATTTTTATAAGAATTCGAGAGGTATAATATACGTCTTATATGGATTATCCTTGAAGCAATTGCTGTGAACATAATTTAGTTATACATATTCTTTTCGCTTGTTTAATGGACAATTGCAGCTACTACTTGAGGTTATGAGTCCCGTTTTGAAAATTGCATGAAAGCGTTGAGAACAGACAAGTTTCAAAACTGCTTTTTGTCATGACCGCTTTAGGAAAAACCTGACATCGTGAATCATAGGAAAACGAATGCAGATAATTGTGGTACTGTACAAATGCATACTCATATGAAAGCCACGCTTACCAAATACGTCAAAATATTGGTGGGCCTTGATGCGGGTTATTCTGGTAAAGGTTGGGACAAGCTTGAGACACGCTTTTAGCAAACGACGTACATTATAGTCTGTATGCGTATGTGTGTGTGTGTAAGCGGACATTTAAATATAATATAACTTTTGACACAAAGGGAAAATAATTTTCGGATGAATGTACTTTTTTTAGCAATAAAGATATAGTTATAAATATATAAAAATATACTGAAAGATATACAATGAGTACTTATGTGTAGACAGGTATTGATCAGTTTTCGTTACTATCTAACTAGAACTTCGGAACCGGATAACATTGAATGTTTCTTGGTATCAGCGGCAATTTAAACTTTGGAAAATTTAATGCTAACACCAAAAAGCGAAGTTCTTATGTTATATTGAGTATGATTTTCTCCGTACATTATAGTATTACTGTTTTGACTGTTCCATATTAAACCCTCTTATTTTAAGGGCTTTGTGTGTTAAATGTCCGTTGCTGCGTTTTGTGAAAAATGACCCAATCCTGAGATTTTGTTGGACTATTCACTGAATTGGTTTATTTGGTGGTCTGCCATTACTTACAGGCACATCAGATGCCGTGGTTCGCCACTTCTTGGATGGCCACGAACGGGGTGTAAACTGGGCGGTGTTTCATCCTACAATTCCTTTAGTCGTGTCAGGTGCGGACGATCGCCAAATTAAATTGTGGCGTCTAAATGACGCAAAGGCCTGGGAAATGGATACTTGTCGGGGCCACTATTCTAATGTGTCTTGCGTGATTTTCCACCCCAGACAAGAGCTTATTCTGAGCAACTCGGAGGACAAAAGCATTCGCGTATGGGATATGGCGAAAAGAACCTGCCTGCACACCTTCCGTAGGTAAGTTAGTACGAATAAAAATATATTGAATATACGCAGAGGATAAGCGTGTATATTTCTATACTGAAACGTTATTACGCATTCTCCGTTTCATTTCACGTTTCGAACGAATAATTAACTTTATTTACAGCATGCTTTTTTTAAATGCTATTCTATTTAATTTGTGTAGCACATATATCGCGTACAGCGTTATGTATTTTTGTAGACCATGTATAAATGCTGTAGGTTAAGCTTTGATTTAAATAGTTAGTAAAGTGTATTTTCTACAGGGAGCATGATCGCTTTTGGATTTTGACGGCTCATCCGACACTGAACTTGTTCGCAGCGGGCCATGATAACGGTATGGTTATATTTAAGTTAGACCGCGAAAGGCCAGCTCATACGCTGCACGGTAACACCCTGTATTATGTCAAGGAACAAAACTTCATGTTGGCAAACGTAGCACAAAAACATCTGCGAAAGCTGGACCTTACCACAATGAAAGACACAGCAATTCTTCAACTACGTAAGGGGGCGGCCCGCGCGCCCGTGTACAGGTTGGTCCTAGAAAAAACTTCATATTTTGTTCGCATCTGGTAGTCACAGTAATTAGTTCAGAACAATTCGCCAGAAATTTCCACAGGGAAGACAAAAACTACGCTTTTTAGCTTTACAACAACACGTAACGTAAGCGTGGTAGATGCTTAATATGATATGTGTTCCTACACGACGAAATAATTCAGCGAGCGATTTATGGTGTTCAATCAGCGAACATTTTCTGTACAGTTCGTTGCCAATTATTAGTACTCTTTTTGAAGAAGGGAATAGAAACGATTTGCTTTGTATAGTGTATCCAGTGTCATCTACAGCCATTAAAGACAATTTTACAAGTCTACATTGTTATTCATAATCAAAAGGTGCATATTTCGTCTGATTGTGCTGTTCTGTTTTTCTAGTATTTCATACAACCCAGCAGAAAATGCCGTTCTAATCAACGTCCGACACGTCATCAAAGAGCAGTCAACGTACGAGCTGACCCAAGTACCCAAAAATGATAGGGACACTTCAGAACCGAAACGCGCTAACGGGCTGACGGCTCTTTGGGTAGCCAGAAACAAGTTTGCTGCGCTAGACAAGAACAAATCGGTGTTTATTAGAAATATGAAAAACGAAGTTACCAAGAAACTGGAACATCACGCACCAGTAGACGAAATTTTTGCTGCTGGTGTTGGCCAGCTGCTTGTCCAAGACTTCGAAGGCATTTCGTTAGTCGATGTTCAACAGAATCGAGTGCTTGCTCATGTAAAGGCGCCTAAAGTGAAGATGGTCATCTGGAATCAGGAGATGACCCGAGTCGCACTTCTGCAGCGAAAGAACATTACGTTGTGTAACAGACGCCTTGAGATTCTCTGTCAGCTCAATGAGTCCACGAGGCTGAAGAGTGGAGCTTGGGACGAAGCGGCGGACGTGTTTGTCTATACAACGTCCAACCATATTAAGTATTCGCTCCTGAACGGTGACCACGGCATCATTCGCACCCTGGACCTGCCGATTTACATAACGAAGGTCCAAGGTAACAGTATCTTCTGTCTTGATCGAGAAGCTAAGGCTCGCGTGCTCACGGTCGACTCAACCGAATACCACTTTAAAGTCGCCTTGGTCAATCGCAAATACGACGAAGTCTTGCATATGGTGCGTAACGCTAAATTGATCAGCCAGTCGATCATCGCTTATCTGCAAAAGAAGGGCTATCCAGAGGTGGCATTGCACTTCGTCAAAGATGTGAAGATTCGCTTTGCGCTTTCACTTGAGTGCGGCAATCTGGACGTTGCCCTCGAAGCTGCTCGGTCCATGGATGACAAAACCTGCTGGGAGAAGTTAGGCGAGGCCGCCCTATTGCAGGGCAACCATCAAATCGTCGAAATGGCCTACCAGCGAACAAAGAATTTTGAGAAACTATCTTTCCTTTATCTGATTACTGGTAACCTTGATAAGTTAAAAAAGATGCTTAAGATTGCCGAGATCAACAAGAACACATCGGCACAGTTTACCAACGCGCTTTACCTTGGTGACGTCCAAGAACGCGTCAAGATTCTTAAAAGCGTTGGTCAACATTCATTGGCATATCTTTGTGCTGCGACGCACGGTCTCGAAGAAGAAGCGGCTCGGCTAAGTGAGGTGTTGGCGGAGACTGCCGAAGACCGACCGCTCCCAAAGACGCTTGATTCAGCTGTTTTGATGGTCCCTCCACCGCCGGTTGCTCGTTGCGACGAGAACTGGCCACAGTTAAGCGTCAACCGCGGCTTCTTTGACACGGTGAACATGCAGAACAAGAGAACGGCCGTGGCGGTAGCGAACGACATGGATGAGATCGAACCGAGTGGCTGGGGAGATGTTGGCCTTGGTGAGGAAGAAGGCGATATCAAACCAGATGATGCCGAGGGGATGGTTGATGGTGGAGGTGAAGGTGAAGGATGGGACGTCGATGAGGAAGATCTGGACATTCCTCCCGAGCTTCTGGAGGCAGGAGACAGTGAGGTTAACAATGATGGATTGTTTATTGCGCCTAGCCGTGGTCTAGCTACGACGCAACAATGGGTCGATCAGTCGCGCCTGGCTGTTGATCACATTCTGGCAGGCAGCTTTGATACGGCTATGAAGCTGCTTAATGAGCAGATTGGCATCGTCAACTTCAAACCATTCCATAGCCACTTCATTGCGACGTTTGCGCGCTCAAAATCGGCACTTGATGGTCCGCTTTCCATACCAACAACGTACTGCTACTTACAGCGGGCGTATGGTAAAAATTCATCATTGCCGGCTCTCGGCTGTAAATTAACCGACTTGATAGAGAGGTTGCAGCAGTGCTACCAGCTTACGACAGCTGGCAAGTTCCAAGAGGCTGTTGAGAAACTTCGCTCTCTCCTACTGCATATTCCGCTGATGATTGTTGAGACGAAACAGGAGGTGATTGACGCTCAACAACTCCTCGAGGTATGTCGCGAATACATCGTTGGCCTATCGATGGAGCTTGAGCGCAAGGTGATGCCCAAGGACACAATGGAAGAACAAAAGCGAATATGCGAAATGGCAGCATACTTTACACATTGCAAATTGCAAACCATTCACCAGATGTTGACGCTGCGTACGGCTGTTAATCTCTTCTTCAAGATGAAGAATTTTAAGACGACGGCGTCGTTTGGCCGACGCCTGCTCGAGCTGGGCCCGAAGCCGGAGGTGTCTCAGCAAATTCGGAAGATTTTGATGGCATGCGAGAAGACGCCCCAAGACAACAATCCTGTGCAATACGATGAACATAATCCGTTTGACCTTTGCGCAGCAAGTTACGTGCCTATATACAGGTAGGTCTGAATAAAACCTTTTATAAAGAAATTTATGCTTCAACTCAAAAACAGTACATATTTATTCCAAATACACAAAATATAAGGCAGGCATATCGATTCGCAATAAGAGGGTAACATTAAATTTGTAAAGAGAGAGAGAGATAGCGAGAGAGAGAGACAGCTGCCGCTCTTGAAAAGTTACGGTGCGTAGAATTGTTCCTGTTTAGCTCTCAAAAGTTCAAGATACTCAGTTTTTTTTTATTCAGATGTTGTCTAAAGTAGTTAAGCTTTATATCTCTTACGTATGTTTGAGTGTTGTATTTGAATCAGAGCTTGTTCTCTAGGTACCTTATCTAACAAAAAATAGTATCAAACCAATTTTCAGTACACATTTTATAAAAGTTGGCAATCACTTGTAAAATTGTACATTTTGCGTTTTAGGGGCAAACCCGAGGTTCATTGTCCGCTGTGCCAGGCATCATATATGCCACAATTTAAAGGCAAGGTATGTGTTGTCTGCGAGGTGGCGAAGATCGGTAAAGAAAGTACCGGTCTACGGTTGTCGTCTCAGCAGTTTACACGGTAGAGCTCTAAAGGAAGCGAGCGCACATATTAAGGTGCAACGGGGTTAGTCTAGTGCCTACCACGAGAGCCCTGAGCACGACGCACTTACCGTACGCAGTAGTTTTTTTCCGTGCAGCGAAGTGCATACCAACAATGACCGATGGTAGCATTCGTTAAATGGTCTCTGCAATGCATCTTAACGGACAATAGTTAACAAGAGAACGTGACAAAACGTGCTGATCCAATTAGCACCAGGAGGAGTAGCATACACGAACGACCGAAAACCAAACCAGCAAACGTTCGCGAAATGAAAAATGAGACACATGTCAACAAAAGCTCCCCTTCCTTTATTAACTGGTTGATTGATAATGATGGTGTATGAGTTTGCGTGTGTGAATGCGTACCATCCTGTGGCCGTTTCCTGTCCGCAGCGCCATTGCTTGCAATTTATATAGCATAACAAGAATAAGAACGCAAGGAACTCACGTTGGGGAACATGAGCTCAGAAAACGCCTATTATTTTCTTATTTCAATTAATTCTGATTCATTTATTATAAAGAAGCCAAGGGAGCGTGGGTGCATCTGAGCAATTCAATTGTTTCTAAGACAAAATGCGAGAGAAACATGTGACCCTTTCTAATAGTGTATGAACTTCAGCTCTGGCCATCATCACAGTATAGTCAGTCAGCAGACACAAATCAATAACACTTAGCGTGACAAGCAAAGTTACCCGCCGTAAAGAAAATTAAACGTAGCAAGCAACTTTTAAACGGGCCTATGGCTGTATCTGTCAGTGAGTGTAAACGGACAACAAATTTATGGTGGCGCGGGCGCAATAGATGATTTCAAATGTGAGGACAAAACCAAATACAAAAATAACGACAGAATTAGTATGTTTTTTTTGTGCCGGATCGATATAGCAGGATAAAGCTGACAAAAATATATAGATAGACATATAAAAAGATAAAAAAAAATGCGATTTAATGAAAAAAGAAGGCAGAATAAGTGAGGTCGGATGAACAGAATCCATTCACTTGGGAAAGTGAAAAAATGTTGAATGGGTAAGCAGAGGGTTTATCAGAAAGAAAATCTGCCTGATTGGCATATGCAGAAAATATTACAAAGGATATTTGTTGGGGGTTAGCGTTGCATGTAAGATTAGTATCTTATATAGATGTAATTAAATATATGTTAGGGTTAAAAAGACGAAGTCGATGACCTCGGGAAATTCCGTCTCCTGGAATAAGACAAGGCAGGCTCGTTGGCTGGCATGAAGAGGACTCATGGGAGGTGTTTTATGGACGCGTACAAAGTTGTCTTAAAAGTTCAGCAGAACAGTCGGGTCCAGAAAGAGAGAGAGAGAGCGGTAGAGTTTCGTAGTAATTGCAGAAAAATGGCTCTATCATATAGAGAGAATGGTCCTCTAAGATTAAGGACAATGGATAGTTAGAAAATCCGGCATAGACCTTCTCTGTTATGCCTGGCGTATATAAGGTAACCGATGACGATGTGGAATAACGACAACTGCTTTACGAGCAGAAAACACATTCAATAAACGTTTTACCCTATTAATTACACATGGCGCTTCTTCAGTGATGTAGTCTAATGTTCATCCAAAGTAAGATATCCGTAAATGTCGTTAGTCAGGTGTAGACAATAGAGATTCAAACAAGTAAGCTAAAACAGAGGACGCGTAAATTCATAGCAAGGTAGAATAAGCCTTGAAGCAGGAAAACTTGCTCATTCCAGTAGATTTTTTTTATGTTTACAATTCAAATGTATATCTATTTAAAAAAATAGCTTCCCTTCCTCTAGGCGAATATATTTTAGTGCTTATAAGCAAAGTTCATGTTAGCTGCGCCAGAAATCACACCAGATTTCGTACTGATAATCCTTCCTAACAGTGTATCGTAAGACGTGATGAACCCGGAACACATTTATTTTCGATTACTTTGCGTTGAGACAATATGATTAATACAATTTATATTATCGTTCATATTATCGTCATTACTTTATTTGTTATTTTCACTATTACTATATGGCATAAACAATTTCAATATTAGTCCACAGAAATAAATGCTGATTACCTTGCAGATAATGTCAGGTTTGAGAATAAATAACTATTCTAAGTAGCCATGCCGGGTTGTTACTTCGCAACACTGATAAATATTACATATTCAGTTTATTTTACATGATCCCACAAAATCGTTATCTGGTTTGGTAAAGTCATCTTCGCTATATAATCGTTAAGAATATGAAGTCGGCAAGCAATAATGGCAATTATAAACATATGAATAAGAATCACCTGCTTGTTATCTTCTTTGGCGACAACATTGGAATCAATGGGACTCATGTATCCGCATATACCGCGATATGCGGGCGGAAAAAAATCAACCTTGTATTATCATGATACATGTCATTCTAAGAGGCAATTACTTTACGAATGTTTGCTGAATGGATCAAATATATAAATCGTGAATGGGTACGTGACTTTTTTCATCGATTCTAGCGATTATTATGGTATTACGCTGCTGTTCGCACGGATACAGCTGGTCCGTGGGAATGCTCGCTTCTGTGTTGCTTCTGCTGCCTCCACAGTATGATCTGCACTAACCAGAGGAATAAACAAATGCGAAACGTTGTTATTGGAACACGATTTTGCGTTTGGCCTAGGGTGTCGCTCACGGGCGTAGTCTTCCTGAAGACCATCCATTACAGGGCCGTAGTGGATGGTGTCAATGATTGTCGACCGTAGCTGTCACGCTATCGGCCCGCGGGCTGCTCGTCCCTCTCTCAAGCTCAGGTTGCAACGGGAGACACCGGCGAGATGCAGGAAGAATGGTGCTGGTCCTTATAGTTATAATGCAAGTGTTTGATTACGGTACTTATCGTTTGTAGTTGCTGAATAATGATTACCACTCCATATGCAATAGTGGGGCTATATGCCATTGTCATTCCATAGTATTTCACTAGGAGTGAGTTCTTGGGTCTATTTTGACGGTTTCTAGTTGGCCAGGCCCGAGTGTCGCGTACTAGAGCTTATTTTTTTTGGCTGTGCTATTTCGTAAAAAAAAAAACAAGCTTCGATTATTTAACTCCAGGAATGAAAAAGAAACATTTTTTTTTCTGTGATTGTGCACCACTGGGCAAATAGGTACGTATGAGCACGTATGTCATACGATGGCTTAAAAATAAAACGTCTTTATTTCTATTTTATTTGCACGTGTTTTCCTCGTGGGTAAATATTTTTACTTTACGATTTATTCAAGTATGCTTATTTATTACTCAAATAAGGATCAAACTACTACGGCGAGATGTACAAATAGCTTCTCAAGCCACAGCATATATACTGTGTTCATGCGTAAGATGGTTGTGGGTTGCTGATTTGCTGGAACATGTTATTCGGATTTCTTCTGCAGATCGAATATGTTTGCTTCTATCAAAAATTCTAGCTAAGCCGCATGACTGTTAGCTGATATGGAGTACTAACTAAGTATTGAGGTCATAATGTATCAATATAAACGACGAGCAAACGATCACAACGGCAGTCTTTCTGCGAATCGTCAAATTTTTGTTTGTGCTCGTAATAACGTTTTCTTAGCAGCCCGATTTCTTCCCAATTTAAATAGTGTGCCAAACAAATTTCTACGCTAAGGCTAAGTTTTGACTAGTGGCAGCCATAGAAAAATGTATTAAAGTTTAAAACGTCTGTGGATACCGCTTAAGTTGAATTAATTTTTGGTGAGTACCTGATTCTGTTTTTTCTAAGGCTTTTTCACTTCTGTATACGCTACCAAGTGCTGATTCAAGTTCCTCCATCGATACAAGCTTGCGTTGAATGTATAATTCAATAAATGCAGCCTAAGTTGTGCTTACAACCACTATTAGATAGCACCAAACAATGACCACCTTTTCGAAAAATATTATTTTGTTTACCAACTTCTGTCCTCTTTTAGAGTAGACCAAGCAGGAGTAACATTATAGATTGACTCCAGCTATCATAGTTAGTAGATTACGGATCTTTCATCGCATACCTGCTTCATATGACTAAAAAAGTGAAAATATTGTTGAGCACATAAAGTCGCCAACATAATCACCCAACACGACACCACACGTTCTGCCATATGTAACAAGCAGTTGGTGGGCGCAATAGCTGAGAAATGCGAAGCAGACAACAAATTATTAAATTAAGATCATCATTAATTTGATATTAAATCGTATTAGTCAGTCGTAAAAGAAATAATTTGTTTCGAAGCTATCGTTTCCTCTTATTAGTTTGGTCAACTACTTAAATGGCACCAATGCGTGAGTAATTGCTAATTTCTGGTACGTAAATGTGTTAGCACGGCAGTATTCTAAACTCAATGTCAAGAATGGCAATAAATTAATTTGGACACTTTTATGCAGAATGCTATACGTTGCACTCACGGGAGCAGTACAAATGAACCAAGATTTATCACTAATTTTTTATTTTTTCGAATTTTTTGACAAGTTTGTCACTTCACTTATGGGGTGGGAGAAAAAGCAGTGACCTTGTCGACGCATTGAGATTTACCGGTCGCCATTGGTGGCTTCTCTGCGGGTGTTTCGGCTCTATTCGAATATTACTTTGTCATGATGATAGCACGTATGGGTAGGGGATGTTCTCAGGCAGACTATATCGACCCCCTTTTCTACCCAGTGTTTTAACAATAACATAAGATACTGTTATGATAAACGCTTGGATTCGAATATACTCATTACTTTAGTATGCTAACACATCGCTCAACTGATAACATGACAACAGTAATAATCATACAGTGGGAAGTTTAATGTCAACAATACCTAATAAATACCGCCTTATCTTTTTCATCATCGCCGGTAGTTCTCTTAGTGTAACTGTCAGCCAGTCGTTGGGTAAAAAGAAATTTTCTGCGCGAAACTGTCGGAGAGCCCTGCGTTATTCCCCGTGCCCAGTACGTTGACGCTGCAATCCGATGTCTGGTCAGCTTTATGAATGCGCCACCGCGTCCGTCTTCCGATGGAAAATAAGTTGCTACACATGAAAAGCTGTAATTTCCTAGCGTCGGTAACGGTGTATATTTCTATTCTGTCAAACATGGAGCCTTTACGGCTGCCGGGTCCGCCAGTGCGTGTTTGCATGGATGGCGTCATTGGAAAGCACTCGATATAATGGCCGGACGCAATACGAAGGGCGATGGCAGACTTTTGTAGGTGCTCTGGCCGTTGTTGTTGGTGATGGCGGTAAAATCTCTGGCTGGCGATTTTGCGTGGAGAAGCCAGCCGAGACACAGAATCAAGTGAGTTCAAATAAGGGGCTATGGAGGCCATCAGAGAAACGTGGAATGGAAAGGGCAATCGACCGGATGAATGAGTCTAGGAAACCGGACAAAGTAGTAGACGCTGGTAAAGAAGAACGATTGTTATTGTAGCACACATATCTATCTAGGCAGACTGGTAAGTAAAGGCACTGGTTTTGCTTTCGATTCTCGGGCGTTGATTCGCCGTTTGCGACCCTGTCATACACGGGAATTTTTAGTGATAGATATAATTCATTCTGCGATATTTTGAATATTCTTTTTTCTTTTATGAAAAAGACAGCTAGCCTTTATTAATTTCCTTTTTCCTGTACTCATAGATGCCCGTGTATTACATAAGGAAATATGCAGCGACGAATGGACCTTTGTCTAACATTCTGCTATTACGGCTACTACCAATTTTGTGCTTTGTAGAAAACTGTTGACCTGAAGTATAGTTAGCGAAGCGGTTGCAGAAGAGGCCGCTTCCATATTATTGATGGAACCATTTGTTGATTTAGGCGAAGTTTCCTGAAGTCGCCTGAAACGAGGACAAGTGGCCGATGACAAATCTGGTCATTCAGTGTTTCATTGAACCTGGATGATGTTTTCAAGTGCATTATTGATGGCTGAATTTCTATTTGGATTTTGAAACTTCCAGAACGATGAAACTGCTTTTAGTTTGCGTGGCCTTTGTTGCCCTGGCAGGTATGTGTCGCGCCCTGTCCAAGGAGGTGAATGTGCATGGTCGCTATCGGCCGCAGTCAGCTCACGGAGTATCTCCTATGGCAAACATTACCAACTACCTCGGCTATATGGTGTTTAAAAATCTACCTGATAAGGATAAAATAGTGTCACCCATCTCGGTCCTCGAAGTACTTTTCATGCTTTACTTCGGTGAGTCTTTCGAATATTATGTAATTTTCATACCTGATTTTTTAGTTTGATTTGATTGAAAATCAATGCGTTGCTACCATAATATTTAAATTGACACTGAATACTTTTGCTTGGTTACAAGTTGCATCGTTATTACTTTCATCGACTTCCTCTGAAGGAGGAAGGCTTTGTATCTGAAACTTTGGAAGATTAATAAATGACGCTTGATATTTTTGCGTTGTTCGTTTCCGTACAACTGTAATTCAATAAACCTATATCCAAAAATGATAACGCGGCAGAGCAATATGGGAGATTGATCATAGAAGTAATCCTACTCTTGCCGTTGTCTCCTTTACAGATCTCTTTCATACGCACTATTCAAAAAAGAAAAACCTTTTAAAACGAAAAATTTCGATAAGGGCGATAAATATCTCGAATAATCCGCATAATCTATCTGTAATTATTACGATGGTTGGGCGCTTAATGTATAAAGACCTTAAAATATTGTAGTAATGGATCCACTGGTGTCAGGAAAACACAGTTACGTCACCTGCGCCAATAGTATTGGCATAAAACTTAAATCCTTTAAGCTCAAATATAAAACAGGTTTTAAGGAATAAATAAAGCTTTATTGCTGCTACACAAGGCTGTATCAAGTCATTCTATATGCGGTTAACACATAGGAAACGAAGTAAAAATTTGTGTTGCCTTGCTGGATGGCTGATTATTGCTGCAAAGCTTCAAGGGCGCAGGAAGTCATTGTTAGCTTTTCCTGCCCCTCGGGGCACATATGAATAAAGACTTTAACCTATAACCAACTGTCTATCAACAAACAGACCTTGAGTGGCGGCCGTCACTTCTACTTGGCTTTCATCAGATGGTTTTTGTAGTAACCGAGTAGGTATGCTATGTGGCGTAATACACGTATAGATAGTTAGAGGTTATATATTTTTGGTTCAATTTTATGAACAGCAGATTTTCGACCGATCTAACAAATAATTCTATCCTCTTTTAACGCATAGATATATTCTGTTTTTTGCAGGTGCGGCTGGTTCTACGAAAGCTGAACTTGACAAGGCGTTTCAGTTTAGTCGCTATGGATTGTTGAGTGAGGAGAAGATCGTACATGAGATTGCCTACGAGATTCATAAATGGAAGCATACAAAAGGAGAGATCATGGATCTTACAAGGGCTTACTCTTCTGATATGGTACGCTTCGCTTTAGTGGTACTGTGTACTGAATCTTTAGATTAATACTAAAACAAATAGATCCTTAAAGTCAATTGTTCAAAGCACACATGCGGAATGTGAACTAAATAGGACTAGAAATGACGATTTATATGAGTTCTCTGCTTTTCAAAACCTCCATAGACAATTATCTTTGGGTGTTCGTGGAGCCAATACTTGACGTCCAACGCATACATTTTGGTTAGGTAAAGTTTTCATTATCGTTGAGAAGCATCAGCATGACCAAAAAAAAAGTCTTCGATAACCATCAAGGCTGCGTTCTTCCTATGCAGATCTTCGAAGACTATCTGCAACGCTTGAAAACTATGTTTGATGGAGAGGCATTCCAAGCTGATTTTGCGAAGAATTCTCCTGCAGTCACACAGGAAATTAACAAGTGGATTTCGGAAAAGACCTCAGGCAACATTAATCGATTCTTCAAGGACAACCTTGATGAGTACACAAAATTGGTGCTTATCTCTATTATTACGTTCAAGTTTAACTGGAAAGATCAATTTCTAACATGTACGTATATTTTTTCAGAGTACTATAAAGGGGTTTTTAAGGTACGGATCCAAAGGAAATAAGTAAACATAAAATAATATTAACTTAAAATAGTTACTTGTTATTTGACGTGAATTCATTCAAGGCTCCTTAATCGAATTAATCTAGAAAGTGCTTTCCCGGCAACCTGCTTACTTTCTTTTTTCTGGAGTTTTAATGAATTTTATCAACTAGAGGTTTGCTAACATCTTTGTTCTCGAACATCTTTATACAAAAGATGGATTTAATGAGCACTGCGAAAATTATTTAAGAAAATCAGCTCTGCATTATTACTGAAGCACACGCGAATACAGAACTATACACGTAAAATTTTATATTACTTGTAGAGTATGTTGAAATAACGACTAAGGTCAACCTCTCGGAAGTTAATCATAAATTCTTAATGAGGTTGTGTTTCAAACAAATTGCCTAATACTAGACAACCGTCACAAACTACCAATTAATGTAAATAAACTACTAATGAATATAAAATCTTTTAATTTCAGCCATGAGTCGTGAAGGTCTATTCTATAACGATGGTTATGAGGAGGCCTATGCGATGTATATGTACAAAGATGCGGACGTTGAGATTGGATTTAACGAGTTTGCACACTCGGTAACTCTGCGACTACCATACGAAAACACTGACTATGACATGTACATTATTGGACCTGATGGAAAAGTTGGTGAACGGGACGCCACTATTGACGACGTAGAGCAATTCTTAAAGCAAACTAAAAGCTACGAGTCATTGTTGAATACTGAAAAGAAGCCTGATGATACCATTGGAGTTGAAGTTCCCAGGTAAATTACAGTGTATATTCCACGTGACACGTGGACTTCTGTAAAGTTCTTTTTATTTCTTCTAATTTCAGTTAATTTATTCTGTATTTGCTTGCAAACGACTGGGAAAAGCAATCCATAGTTATATTTATCTCCAAAACCATCTGTAATATTCTAACACAGTTGCAGTAGTTACAAAACATGAAATTAGCCAACATCGAGTAAGTCAAACAGAACTTTCTGCTAATTTGTAGTTAATTCACTGTAGTTGATCGTGGTTGGTTAAGGAGCTAGGTGTATATCTTGTGGTAGTCTGAAGATTCCTGTTTATAATTTGTTCGCAGATTTGTTGTATCGTCTGAAGTCAACTTGAAAACCATCTTGTCGCAGTTGGGGATACAATCACTATTCTCTCCAGACGCAAATTTGAGCGGAATGAGTCCGGCAAAGCTACACGTGTCCTCGATAAAACAGGCTGGATATGCCAAAATTGACGAGCAAGGTACCGAAGCTGGAGTAGTTACCGGTGAGTTAATTCTTACCATAAGATTTCTATATCGATTAGATCTGCAATTTGCAATTCTGCAATTTGATCTCACCATTCGACTGAACGCATAGGCAAGCGCCGTTATCGTAAAACTGCTCGCAATTTTAATTCGACTTGGTATAAAGTGACAACAGCATGTCCTGTGCCGAGCGCGGAATCTTGTTATGGCTAACCATCTATGACCATATTGAACTATTCGGTTGACCGTTTAGGCGAATTCAGTTCTAAGCGAAAGTATTCTATGCAATGTTGCACTGCCTATAGTTTTCTGTGTTGTCTGTATATGTATTGCACCTGTTGAGATTGCCTCTAAAGAAAACTCCAGTGGATGAGTTCGGGTCTATACACTTGTTATTCTTCAGTCAAAGTCTTTCGTTCCGCATTTTTCGTTAGTCTTTGATAACATGTGCTCAATATAGTGCATGTCGACGGCAAATCGTGCTCTAGCGATCTTTCAATCTTCCACCAGACGTTTAACCGTCCAGGCCTTGATACCCTTTAATATAATTCAAAGCGATCACGCTGCATCTAAAAGGTATACAAATACTTTTCAAGCTAATGTGCTTATGAGGTACGCTAATAACGGAATATTTGTTTCCTTTTTTTCAGCGGCATCGGCAACTGCTCGCATGGTGCCAAGCCGGTTGCCACGCACAGTAACGTTTAATAAACCGTTCCTATTCCTCATTAGGAACAACAACCTTCATCTCGACCTGTTTCTAGGCAAAATCTCGAACGTGCCGAAGAATGACTTTTAAACGAAAGAGGTCACTATACCGAAGCCATTCGAAGGGGCCAGCTTAGGTTATTTTACCTAAGTAAAAAAATATGTTACCGAAACGAAAATACTGTGTTTATAATAAAGCACAAAGTGCAATTTTATAATTGTCTTGGTTACATTTGCTTACTTTATTGAACAAGAGAAATAGCTTTAAAGTAATCAGAGGCGGGTCGAGAGTGCTTTACAAAGTTCGAACAAACCCTGTGCAAGCGATACAGACTGACAAAATGAATGCATTTGCAGATTAATCAATAAAGCTAGTAAAAATTCTGTGACATTTATATATACGATCAGGGCTCTGCATGTTTCTCATCACATGAAATAGGTTACATTAAAAATGCCAATTGATTGGGGAGAATTTAAACACTCAACAAGTTTTTAGCCTCCCTTTTTTTGTGTTCGTGATACTAGAGTAACCTCTTCTTTTTGCGTATCTAGTTAATCGCATAATGCGCATACATATTTTTGATGTGCGTTTTTCAAAAACCGAATCACTTTTTGCAAAGCAGTATAAAAAAATTGACACAGCATCAGGATAGATTTCAACTAGAAAAAATGATCTTAATAATGGCTTTGACGGAAAATCGCTCTCTTATTCTGCAGTTGTAGTTATGTTCTTTCTAGCAGTAGAAAAATACAATTCAGTAGCGGACGGCTGATAAGTTGTTATCTAAAGTGTTACCTCGTCAATCTGCTAACAGTTTGAGCACATATTTTTATCAAGTCGATTTCAGTTGCCAAACACTTCAGACATTAAGATACCCTGGAATTTTTGCAGCTAGTAGTGGTTAATTCATGGTTAACCACACGGTGCCGGAAAACCAAATGCAATGACCACAAGTAGACGTTTGATTTATTGGGTAATTCAGATCGAAGCCATTAACAAAATAGCGTAAATAAGTTATAATATTTAGGAGCAATCTTGTCAACTAGTGAAGAAACATACTATGTGGTTCTATTGATGCTGACGACACATATATTTTTTTCTAATTTAAAATGATAAAACGCAGCTTCACAAGGGAACATCTATGTACCAGTTTTATAATATGTGAAATTTTTATACCACATACTTCGTATTCAAGTTAAATATAGAAAGCACACACTTTACAGGTATTATATTTACTTCTAAAAATTATGCATGGCTTAAAAATAATGTTCCGAAGGCCACGCTCTCCGGCCGGTTAGTTGCGCTCTGACCGATAAGTGCGTAATGCGGGTTATGGTCGGGGTAAAAAAGCTAGACAGCATCAAAACTTGGACGGACATCCTCTCATGTGATAATACTTGGAGCAGTAGAAATTGTAGGACTTGTGCCTTTTGTTGTGGTAAACAGTAGTTTACAGACAGTAATACATTTGGAATGGAAATGTTAATTCACACATGTCGGAAATAAAAGGTGTCGTAATGCCCTTAAAAATTTTGTTTCAAGTGTCGACCTTTTACGGCCGGAGAAGGCTACCGGTGTAGCAATCGAACGTTCAAAAGTTCCCGTTCGTTTCTATAGTCGACGACGGCTAACAAATGACAGATTTGCAGTTATGTGTCTACTAATCATTTCTGCAATCAGGATGAGCTGAATAATTTCATATGGCTTCCAGTGAACGCTCTAGACGTAGGTCATGTAGTTTGGTTCTAGCAGAACGGATTTTAAGCCAAGAGCTAAATAAGGCTCGAGGCAAAGTAAGCTCGTCCTCATTGTGGTCAGCGAATGTTATATAAATATTCTAAAATGCGATTTTCAAATCGTGCTGTATCTCTACAACAGACAAACATATTCAGTACGCCAAAAAATACTTGTAATTCTGGCGTTCGGGCACAAGACAACTAAGTTTTAATTGTTCAATGAAAGAACCCTCGTTTGGAAAAAGTTTGGCATATAGCATGTATACACAGTTATGCCATGGAGACCCACTAGCTTGGTGGCTGGAAACTCGTCTGGGGCATGCTTAACTGCGGATCTGTTGCTTCCGAGTTGTGGCAGACGGGTTGCTTCCAGCAGTCACTTAAAACACGTGCAAGCGACAAAGGGGTTATATAGTTTGTCAAGTTTGAGACGACGAATCACTTCGTATGTAAGACTTGTTGATCGTCTGTCTAACTGCTGTTAAACCCTTTCCAGACTGCTTGACACCGGCATCGATATATTCTAGTTCGCCAAGCAATGACAGCCTCCTGTCAGGTCCTGTTGGGGCCTTGCAGCGGAAGTCATCACCTTTCGAATTTTCTATACTCTAGATTATTTGAATTGTTTGTTAGACATTTTTGAAAAATCCATGCCGCTTCTGTGAAATTAAAATCGTATTCTGGGTACAAACATGCACGGTACTAGCAAAAGATGGACTGCTGTTTTTCTACAATCAAGGATTCTATTTCAGTAGAGTCATCTTGACTCATTTCATGAGGCCACTGGCTGTTGTCATTCTTATAAAACATTGCTGAATAATCATAATACGATAATTACCGTGAACTGTATGATACCAGTGTGATTCGGACTAAGCGTAAGAAAAAAGGAACTCCCGCTAAAACCTTTATATGACAACTGTCATATATTGGCGCGCGATATACTCAAAAGAAGCCAACTGCTTCCAGCGTAAAGCTAGTTCATACATTTAAAATGTTTGCTGTAAGTTTTCTTAATTTATACGAGGCGCGTATCTCTTGACATCTACCCGACTAAGTAATAAGATTTTCTGGATCATCAAATACGAACTTCTAGTACACTTATTTCTAAAGTAGCCTTAAGTTTTCCGAAGGTTTTCTAAAGGCGCCCGACTAGGTTTAATAATGTCGGCGGTAGAGTATTGCAAGTTTATTACTTTAATATTGTTATATTATTATTATGTTCTATATTAATATATGTTCATGTAAACAATGCAGCAATACAATCCTTTAAATCTTTGCAACTAGCACAATTGTAAACCTACAAGTTCTATCACCTATATAGTATCTTTTTAACGAGCAATAAATACCCACTAGTTGAGACAGACAGTATGAAACATTTTATTCTTTCTTTGTTTATTCTTCCGGATTTCTCAGTTCATTCCTATTTCAATTCAATACCATCATTTGCATCAAGTCCTCATCATATATATATTTTCCTGACTGGTCCGGCGACTTAGCCATATTTTGTAGCTGTAGCCATTTCGTACTGAGAGCGTAAGATTCTGTACCATAGAAGTAAAGGCAATAATAATAACGAATTTAGATATCTTCATCGGGCCTACGATCAATACTTACTCCCTTTGTCGGTTTCGTCTATTTCTATAGGGCCCGTAACCTGCTTTTGGATAAATCTAATATTCGTTGCCCTCTACTTATATGTTTTCTCTCACAATACTCTGTCCGTCTTTCATGATTTCATGGACACCATTTCTTACAATTGTGTAATTAGCACTATACATAAGAGTAATAATCGCCATTGTATATCATATCAGTCTCGTGACCACCATCATTTCCATCGTTTTTATTCTTCGTAATATTATTAGTACCACCATTAATTATAGCTTTACACAGGGACTAGATACTTACAAAATTGCGAGCTTCTCTTCATAAGCTCCTCTTACTTCGTTTTCCCTTATTTTTTACTACAATACAACGCAAAACTGCACCGACTTCCTTCTCAGCCTAGCCAATAAGCCGGCTCCATAGAGAACAATATTGCCAATGGCCAACATGCTCGGTTAGCGTGATGTGCGAAAGCTCTCAAGTGCACATTCCGGTAAAGGCCGTGGACTTTCGTTTATTGAGTTCGCTTGAAGCAAAGACGTGCCGCTTTGGACACGGACACGGACACAGACACAGAGACACACGCACACACCCACCCACCCACACTCACACGTACACACGCTAAAACAATGCTAGCTCGTCAGTCGACATTCAAATACCTCGTATGCTGATCTCATCTTTATTCAGAGCTCGGGCTGAAGAACGAGGGACCATATGTAAGGTTTCAACAGCTAGATGGTGAGTGGCTACGATAAATCCATAACCGGAATCTGTTATAACCAATAAGTAACGAACTACTTAGTAGAGCACATTAGTACGGTAATACATACACGCATACACGAAAAATTAACGAAAAGGCAATTTTCACCTCGAGAACCTAACGTTCACTGTCTGAATGCTTTCACCTTGTAGTTCGTTCTGCCACAGATCTCATTCTTATTTCGCGCATACAGCCATAGTATATTTATTATTGTTTCTTCCTTCCGACGTCATTATCGCCATTCACGCATATTATATGACTATTTACATTTTGATAATAGTAATAATAATGTTCATTGTGGATGAATTAATTTACCGCGTACGTTGCGTTTCAGCACTTCCCATTCAAGCGTCAGCTCGCCTGAGTCGTCTGCTGTTTTTCATTGTTTATCCCGTTTACACTGTGTTATTGTTTACCTGTCTGATTTTACAGTTCGCTGCGTGTCGGGGAATTGTGTGGCGGCGTTTGGACACAACGATCATTTGTTTTTATGAATATTTTTATGCAATTATGTTGCTGCTGAACTGTGGCAAATACCAATGAGTGACCTTGCAAATACACGTTGTTACATTAGTGTTTTTCAGATGTATGCGCGCGTGTAATATCGATAAGGATTAAGCTAAAACGAGCCGGTTTTGCGATTCGGTATCATTTGTTATGTTTGCGGTGCGACAACAAAATGCATAGCTTTCCGTGCTGCTCTTACTCAGCTGGAAGAAAACAAGCGTTTGGCAAATTTGTGCAAATATAATTAAGTATGTGCTTGAATAGTCTGTGAGAGTAGCGCCGCTGACAAATAATGCATCACTAGCATGTATTAAAAGGCTCCACCGGCATAAAATTATCTAATTATTTAATAGAAAGAAATAGCTGCTGCACTGCAAGCAATTTGTGCCACTGAGTACATATAATGATTAATATTATTATTAGATGATAATTTCGCAGTAGCAGAATCGCCCATTTGCCATTGGTGAGGGGGATTGTACCGCTTCAGTACTTTAATATAGGTGTTATCAGTGATACCTGTTCAGGATTGTCATCTTTATTGAAAGTCAACACCTGCATAGTATTTTTATGCCTGTGTCCTGTTACAACAAGTAGCTTTAAAACATAGTTCCTGTTTGAAGTGCCTTCGCCGTCAGATCCATGGCCGGTTTTGAGCGAGCGGTTCTTACCGCTGTGCGTACTTATGAGACAATGCCTAAAAGAGACACAACTTTACGGCAATACGTCGCTAAAATTAGATGTATGTATGTATGAGGTTCTTTGTGTATGCTGCGTTTGCCCTTTCTTTCCTTATATATATATAAGAAAATGATTTTTAATGTGTTTTCATGTATGAGCAAGTGTACCTGTCTCAATGACTACTCCCAGTTCATCAGCGATCGCCGAATATTGCATAACCCTATAAACTCATTCAAGCTGGTCAAGCGTGATGGTGGTTTGATGATGTATAGTGTTCTGCTCTTTTACCGATCGCTCTTCTTAAGCTAATGACTGCTTTACGCGAGGTATATTGCATTTCCATTCGGTACTTGCATTTCTCATTCGTACTGTTGGTAGGTGTATTTTTTTTCTTGTCATGGCGAGTAGATTTGTTTTCGACGATGTATTTATATGCAATATATATGTGGTATCTGTTGCTTTTAACATGAATCATTTGATTAAAAAAAAACATCATTGCCTGTCCAGGACCATTGTTCAACCATGCACCGCGTTGTGGCCAAATTGAATCTTTCGGTTGTAAATTTGCCCTCAACTCCTTGTTTTTTGGTTTTTCATTGAGCCCCTATCTTGTTCCTCATCTTAAATAACAGTTTGAAGTAAGTAAGAAACGTTTCGTAGACTTGCTTTGATGAATCGTTGTTCTGTTGCCATCAACTCCTGTCACAGTCTTGTAAAATCGCATCTTTCATAGGATTCCCCTTAGTGTCATCCTGTCTTTATTTTCGTATTCGTCTTCCTCGTGCGACCTCAAGAATATGGTATTTATGCGTGGTTTTGCATCCTGATGCATTTATATATCTATATGTATCTATATATATTAAGAGCTTGTTGTAATAATAATAATAGTAACCGCTGCGTAGTCCCCGGGGGAGTTTATACCATGATCTCGTGATGACGACGACGACGACAATGATGATGATGATGATGATGATGATGACGACGATGATGATGACGATGATGATGATATTCTTTCGCTAGTTAATGGTAAATTTGTCTTCACATATATAGTTGTTGATCTTCGACGACTTTTTCTTGCTTTTTGTCCTATTTATAATTAATAGTTGTGTGCACTCTTAGTGTTAAGATCACTCTCATATATACATACGTATTTATAGCGGCCCAACGCTCTCCCCATTTAATCCTTGCCTGGAGCACGGTTTGCGTTTCTTTACTCTCCCGTAGGTAATCATATGTCATATATTTCCGTGTTTCGTTGTAGCAGACGCACGTTCGCTGACAGTAGTAAGTAAAACGGAAATTAATATCAATCTAATGTTCCCGACAAACTTCTCGGTCAGGTTAATTTTTGGCTAGGTCACTGCTTGCGGGAATAAAGAGACCACATATTCGACCGAGGTTCCCCTGTCAGTCAAAAGGGAACAGATAATCCCGGTGCAAAAAATGATTTCTTTATTTGTCCAGGTGCATTTTCTTTGCAACTGTTGTTGTTTAAGTAATCAACTTATTGTCTGGCTGCTGATACTCTGATTGCACCCGTGTGATACTATTCGCGCTTTAGCTTATCGTAGTCATAATATAGATACTCTTGTGATCACATTTCAGACACCTCTGCCTTGATTTCTTCAACTGAAGCTTTACTCAAGGTCGTGTGTACATATGCATATATGATAAGGAAGTTCTTGATAGCCAAGATTGACTTACTCTTTTTTCGCTGCGTTTATTCTTATAAGGTGATTTGGTTGCAGAATCATATTCGTAAGTTTTTCAAGATTCAAGTTGATAACTATACAGCCAGTAATCGAAGAAACGTGCCATTCTTACTACTGCTTTATGGAACATTTAAAGTAAAGAGGTATTGATACTCGTTAAGGATAGACCCGTAATAGGGGAGAGCACGAAAGGGCCGTCGACAACGCGATGATATGTGTCGACAGAGATTCGCTTTCAGTTCAGCTTGGTTTGCCCCGATCACATCGACGCCATATGGGTTTAGCTTATTATTACTGACAATATAATTGATAAAATTATACAGTTACAACGGGTGGAGGTCAATTTAGCACATACTGCTATTGTGTTTTTTCAAGACGATTGGTTGTGTTCTCGGCGAAGCTCGCTAGCGACTGCTAGAACTGGTTCTGGTTGTTGGATGTGTGTAGTAAAGCTCGAGATGTCCTCGTCGGCCAGTGGGGCCGAAGCTCTTCTTTCATTATTTTACCGTTATGATTTGTTTTCATACCTTCTGTTATGCTTTTTGTAGTTTTTTTTTTGTGAATCGGGGGACAGTACAGGTTGTACGCGTAATGCAGAGTGCGATGCTGTCTGTATTGGTCAGTATTGACTCGCCTATGTAAACTTATTGTAGCTGATACTGTTGTTGAACGGAGGCGTCAGGCTTGTTCCACCACCCACTCAACAATAAAATACTCTCCTTCAATCTGCCTTTTCTACTTATATATATATATATATATATATATATATATATATATATATATATATATGGTGCACAACTCATGTCATATTTGTGGACATTTCGTCTTTAGACACACTGTATCTCTACAAGACTGGGGCGTAGTCCGCCTGCTCTTAGGTTCACACTTGTGGCGTGTCTTTGTGTCATCCTACTTATCCACATTTAAGGTTTCCATTGTTAGGCCTTAGGGTCGTGTATTAAATGCTGGTAGACGTGGCTGTTTGGGGTGGAACAGCGGTCCATGGATGTGTCCATTGCTCTCTGCAAGACAACAGCAGACATCACACAACAGTTGAGATCACTAGACCAACGTGCGCAGTGCAAGCTTTCCACTCACAGACAGCATCGTCCATTTTGTGTCGATTTGTCTATATAGCTATTATATAAGAGAGATTTATGTCAATATGTGACTATCTACATATATCTCCTTGTCTATTTATACTAACCCGCTGCTGGCTGAGCATAGTCGAGTTGGTGGTAGATGACTGACTCCTACTACCCTGGCTGACGCTTCGACAATGCATCGTTTGCCACGTGCAGAGGCGATTATGAAGCTCAGAGAATGATGGCCGACGTGCGGACACCTCGTGCCAACACTCCACCATCATTGAATAGACGTGGGATGGGCACTCCTCAGGACACGCCAGTAGCTGTCGTGCCCGAATCATTTCGGTAACTTCTTGATTGCTGTAACCATAATACGGTTGGCAGCCGTATGAGAATACCTCCCACATAACGACACCAAACGACCATACATCGCTTTCGGCTGTAAACTTGCCGTACAGGATAGCCTCCGGCGGCATCCATCGAACCGGCAGGAGGCTCTTCGCCTGTACTCGATAATAGTCCGACGAGTAAATGTCGCGAGATAGTCCAAAGTCCGAAATCTTCACAGTCGTATTCTCACCGACAAGGACGTTACGTGCAGCCAAATCGCGATGCACATAGTGATGCGCTGCTAGAAACTCCATTCCAGCGGCGATCTGACGGCAGATATGGAGAAAATCGGCGAATTCCAACGTCTGATTGATCGAGTCCGCTCGGGTTGGAGAATGTGCAATGAGGTACTCGTGCAGGTCGCCATGTTCCATGTACTCAAAAAGCAGACACATAGGCTCTTGTCTGGTCACAACGCCGACCAGGCAGACAATGTTCGGGTGATGAAGATCAGCCATAAGGCCGGCTTCACGATGGAAGTCATCTTGAACCTTTTGTGATGCGTTCTCTTTGAGTGTCTTGACAGCTACTGGCAGTTCACCATTTGGCGTGCCATTCAGGAAGCGATTATTGAACACCGTCGGCTGCTGCGTTGCTAACCAATCATAGCCTATGATTGAACCACGGTAGACCTTGCCGAACGCTCCTTCGCCTAATTCCTCGATAAACTTGATCGATGACAGGGGAAACTCGGGTGCTCGCACCTGAGTTCTAGGCAAAAGTTTGTTCAGCTCCATCGTGTTGATTCTGCTCTGAGCCGCTGATCCATTCTTGGCTACCTTAAGCGCCTGAAGCGAGTTATTAACTAGTGAGGACGGAGGAGGTTTGGATGACGTGCGCCGCTTGATGCAGAATACCGAGACAAGAAGCGATATCAGAGCTACAGCTGCCACGCTCGGCACAACCACGTAGAGCCACATGTAATCCGCTGAAAAATTTGAATGCATGCACAATAATGTCGATAAACACATCTGTTATGATACTAACTAACGGGAAATGCGTTCTAATAAGGAGTAACGAATCCATTAGACATCATCGAGGGCAACTCATAGTCTAATATACAATATTTTCGCTTGTTTTTTTGCGTTCACCAATAATAATTACACAAAACGTAAATTACAGTCGGCGATATGCTTAAATATTGCCAACTAGGTGGTAATCTATGTATGCCCAATACGTACCACATTTCGGGATGTTACAAGCCTCTTTGCCACCGACTTCAGTGAAGCACCATGGTCCAACTCTGGACCCATCAGGGTTCCTGCAGTATGAATGTCCTCCGAGAATGCCTTCATGGGCGGTCACCCGTGAATAGAGGATTTGGTGATGCCAGGGTTGGCAGGGATGCCCGGAAATGCTCATTGAGACCGAGCCTCGATAGGACTCACCATTACCCTCATAGCAGTGTTGATCTGAAAATAATCCAACGAAAATAACGCAAATTAGATCGTTTCATTTTGCAATATGGTCGCGATAGTTTTCATGAGACGAGTTCACAACATACAAATTGAAAGCTGGTTCGATAATGCTTTTACGCTGGTTTATTCATAGTAGATTCATACTTATCGCACGACATATTCGCGTATACAGTATTATAATAGAGCATTAGGGAATTAAATAAAAAGAACTTGTTTGTTTTTTCCTACGAGCTTTACGTATCAGTCTTATGCTTGAAAGGTTACCTGTAGTAACCTCTAGTTAAACTAAATATATAAAATAAAATAAACTAGCTTATATTAACAAAAGCAGGCTTGGCATGTGTAAGTGGCATATCTATGCCTGTGCTTTATATAGAAAGTCACGTGCCTATTTGAGCATGCCATATTCATTGGCCGCCATCTTCTTTTGCGTTCTATAGTAGCTCAATAATTCTTACTTCCAGCTGTTGCACCTCTTGTACAATCGCATATTTGCTTCCACGAGTTGGCTTCTATGAATAGAACAATGAGGGGCTTTACCTTCGCCTCAACGGCTAGCACGACTTGCACGTCCATGACAGCAAACGCAGTCTCACCTTTTTGCTAATCAGACAGGCATTAATCGTCCAATACGATCGTGCATTAATAGTAGCTAGTACTGCTATTAAGAGTTTGTGCAGTGCTCATTCGTGCAAACATACCGAAGTGATCGTGAGTGAATACTGCGGATAGTATGTGTTTTAGTTAATACCTGTTTTCTAACTATCCGCGATAGTCTATTGTGAACAAAGTCTACCTCCAGAGCATCCAAGTGGTTCCTCTAATTCCAACAGAAACAGCAAGAAGCCATTCGTAGCGCTAACTCACTGGGGAAATGCGTGTTTTTGGCTGATGACGTTAAGTTCAATGACGAAGAAAACACGCTTAAATGAGCACTTTTTATGGGCCATGGCACCAGAGGCCTTCCATCGCTTTGCATAGGAGTCCGAATTTAACTGGTTCCACATAGAGCAGCCAGTTAGTCCGCTAGTTTTTCCGATCAGCGTGTTGACATGGGTTGATACTAAGACTGAAGAGTGATATAGCGTGCCTTTACTGCCTATGCTTTCTTTCTTTTTATGTCTAAGTACCACACTAGTTTTGATTGTAGTCTATGACCGCTTGGGGAGCCGATAAATCGCGAGGAAGATCCGTCCCGTCCACTAGTTTTGACATCAACCACGGTAACAACAGAGACAGCCATGAATAACGAAAATTTGCGATTCGCTGACCAAAGCAAAATACAAGATTATGGTTGTAAAATGCGGCGCTGACACAGTGAGCTACGTGCTTTTAACCCTTCGTCTAAGAGTTCGAATGCGCAAATGAAAATACTCGATTTAAGCGTATTACGGGACATTAATTATATATATAATTAGGTGCAATAAGTAGTGTTCATGTATTTACCAAGTGGACACACTAAGTCATAGCACTTTTGCTCGAAACGACTGTAGGTCAGCTCAGATACAGATATAAATCTTTTTGAAGCTTGCCACTGAAAACAAATCGAATTGCTATTGAAAAGCGCGGACAGATTCGCATTTCAATCGACGACATCGTTATTTAGTTCGACGCAAGACTTCGCAACACTGAAGTGTCAACAGGGCCCGCGCCAGTGGCACCAGCGTACCTTCATCCAACTGAATAATCGTCGGCAGCGGAATTCCTAGGCCGAGGCAGTTCAATCCATCAGGGCTATTTCGTTCAGGCAGCTTCTTACAATCAGGTAAAATATTCGCTCTTCCGATCACTGGGTGGCGTTTGGCAATCGAATACTCCATACGACATATATTATCCTCCAGCAATTCGCATTCGTCTCGGCAAACTAAAAAAGAAAAGCACTTATTAGACTTACCAGTCACTAACTGTTTCGCTTATTATTATTATTATGAAGTGAGCTAATTACGGCGCTGCCAGCCAGAAATGTTTAAAATCATTATTTTTCGGCTAAAAGACACACGTGCAAAAGTTTTCTGTAAATATCCAGCATACACACACGTGCATTATATCCCTGATTTAAATCTTTTCTCGCAGAATTCCCTATGTATATCTAAAATGTAAAGCTCGTGATATATACCATCCCAACATGTTAGTCTGTGATGTCGGAATAGGCTCGCATCATTCACTTCAAAAGACTAGAAGTGTACACTTTTTAAGCACCTGGCAGCACAAAAGTTCAAAAAGCATCCGTAAAATAGAAAAAAAGACGCCGATACGGATATGAGAGGCTTTGAAGTCACCGTCCATATATTTCATTACAGAGTTTTTTAATATTATTTTTATTTTATATTTTAATTTGCTCGGCTTCAATTTCTAACAAGTTTCATTTATTATCGATTCGTCATTTATGTACCTATCCATGTATAGCAAGTCATCTAGGAAGAACTTACCCATACGAGGCTTGTGTTCATGCACTGTCTTATCGCACGGCGGAAAAGCGAACATGCAGAGCGAGGGGAAAGCGAATTTGAGGCATTCGGGGGTGACATCGCGTGAAGTTCGAACGACCGTCAGTACCCCAGCGAGTTTTTCTTCAAGAGAGGCCATACTTAAACCAGGCCGAACATACACAGTCTGATTTATAAGGTAATGCGCACAAGCTGTCCCTCGATATGTTTCGCATTTGCCACCGCTCATAAACGTGTTTGGGTCATCAGGGTGGAACTCTCTGAAAATCAGAATAAACAGCAACGGTATATTGTTGGATAATTATGTAGTTGGAAATCGACGTGTTCCAGACTTTCTTGTCATTGTGAGTTTCACTAAAAGATACTCGTTGAAAAAAGAAGTTGAAAATTTTTACAGCTGCATGTTTTTATTTCTTTTGTTCAATTAGGAACTGTTGTAGATATTGGAGTCTTATTATTAGGCCTGCAACAGCGTACTAGAGATGGCGAGGGCGTCACTTGCGTTAATCAAATGTGTTGGCCCAAAAGCTATATATATACAAATGTATATATATATTGCCGAAAAGGTTTAGACCGTTCTTCTAGCTAGATGACCTTAGAGCTACGTATCTCAAATGTGGATTGGGCGCCATTTACAAGTTGAGATTTAGCATTAGTAGACATGTTAAAATTGTGGAAAGGTTTTTTTTTAGACTTAACATAGGGAGTGAAATTTCCGCAAAAAATTGCCATATTTTACAATTTTATAATTAGATAGGCACAAACGCTGAACAGATCCATGAAAAAACATCTGTGTCTGTTTAAGGTCAGAATGCGTTATTCAGAGATGTTTCTATCGCTTTTGTTCTGAAAATGTTTATGTAAAAGATGCTCTTTTTAGTGTATGGCCAATTACGAAAAAAGTTGATGAAATCACCACAGAAGTTAAACAAGAGCTAAAAATTAAACATCCATCACCAAACGGTTCTGAACCGTTTAAAGAAGGTTGGCTACACGAGCATCATGTATGGCTTCTGATCGAAATGACGCCAAGAGATTTACTAGATCATATTAGACATACTAGACATAGAAACTGTACAGAAATGCAATGAACTCTATCCATACCTAAAGCAGTTGATTACAGGTCATCAAAAGTGGATCCAAAAAAAAATGTGCCCCCTAGTCTATGGCGAAGCCCAGACTGATGCCAAAGAAGCTGACACTATTTGTTTAGTAGGGTTGGAAAGGAATCGTGCATTATCAAGTGTTGCGGTCTAGTTAAACGATCGATACAAACCTCTACCATCAACCAGCTTGTAACTAGACTATAGCAAGCAACTCGCAAAGATCGATCAGAATTAGTGAAGCTTTACCACGAGAATGCCCGATCATATTTTTTTTTAGCTATCTGGCAAAAAATTGAGTAAACTTAAATAAAACTCTTAATATATTTGCCGTACAGTCCGGATCTTGCACTATCAGAATTTTATCTGTTTCGGTGTTTAGAGAACTTCTGCAATGGAGTTAGCTTAGTTTCGAATGGACGGATGTAGAAATCACTTATTATCATTTTTCTCCTAGAAACCATATAAAACCGTAGAAGTTCTTATTGGTCATAGACAAAAATGGCACATAATTAGTTTTGTAATATTATTTTAGAATATGAAAAATACCTTCTTCAATTTCGGTTTAGAACGGTGAATACTTTATCAATAATCCAATATATGAATGTATTAAAGGCTAGGAAGGACTGTTATATCACGATGGAAAACAAATACCCTAAGAGGGAAATGAAGAGGTGGCCTAACTCAAAACATGGCTGCGTAGCCAAGAACCTACGAAAAGCTCTACGGGAGTGACATCTCGTGGCTCATGGTCGCGCATGGTTAACCTTTGCCACTCTACCTGTGGGACTATGGTTCTTTGTAGTTATCGCGATGACAAACGGAAGACGCCGTAGTTAACTGCGATGGTGGGGCTTCTTCCATCGCCCTGTCGGTGTAATGCTCGTTGACGCACTGGTAGACAGATGTCCTGTCATAATTTAACTTGGCCACCTATCTTAGCACTGTGACAGTTGATCTATCCAGTGAGCCGAAAGGCACTCGCACAGATACTTCCAAAATATAGAAAACGCATCGAGATGGATAGGCGACTAGCAACATTGACGCCTAAAGTGTGAGAGATCTTTTCGCCGGAACAGGGTAAATCAAGCCAAGTTGTTCAAACACGAAACAACGAGATAGACAAATCTCGTCATCGGCGCCAGCCGAATCGTTATAGGTAGTGTGGTGTTGAGCTCTATTATCTGTTTCTCTCGGTTACTATGTGTTTTGTTCTGACGCATTGCAGTCAGCTCATTCGTCGAACATTTACAGTTACCGTCAGCAGTCATGTTATTGAAGTAGACAGCTGAGAGATATAGAAGGGTGTCCTATGAGACAAGGCAGAACGTTCCACATGTTCGCTGACATTGCAATAGATTTTTGTGAGAGATTCGTCAACTACAATCACAACAATGATGTGACAAACGTCGAATTACATTCGATATTTAAGTGGATGCATTTTTAGCTAAAAACTAATTCTCAGTTGGAAAGCTACTCCTCATTATTTCAAGAAGACAATGATGTAAAATCATTTATCTAGTCTTATTTAATCTTAGACATTTTCTTTGCTTCATCCATACAAATTTGTTTAAGCAATACGTCTTCATCTGTGTCCATTGCTCTGCGCTGTGCTCCGACCTATAGAGCTGTCATAACGCTCTCGTGGAAATGGACCCGCTGCGTACCTGGCGGAAGAGCTCACAAACTTTTGCACACAGCTGTAGTTGACGTAACTTTCATGGTTCAGTGACCACCGGTGCCACCCCTATAAATACGATTTTTGGATCCGCGGATCCGAGGGGACTGAATCAGAAGAATGTTAAAGTATACGAAAAGAAACCCGTGTCTTTCCTTGAACAAAGAAGTGAGCCAATGATACGGACGGCCAATAAGCAGGACTAAAATTGACGATGCGTAAGAGCCTATTCCGATATATCGGTTCAGCTTGATATGTTTCGGGCTGGCCGTCTGTTAATCACGGCTGCTGCGTTACCTCGATGTCATCGTTACTGTGCGATCATATAGCTTTCACCATCAATGTACACGGAACACTATTACTAGATCAAACAGCGAGCCGAATTCTCCTGTGAGGAGACGGGTTGAAGTCGACTAACCGAACCAGAATCCAGAAACAGAGTCAGGAGCTCAGCCTTCATAGATCAAGTGTCGACTCTGTTTCCGAGTCGCTATTTGCCTTAGGCTGACGTTTGAAAGATACACATCGATAAAGTTTGCTATAGATTGAAATCAGACAGATGGGTATCATTCATAATGGTACATATAGCGCCTACCGCTATATTGCGCAGAACTAAACGTTAGGTGTGCAGTATGAACGATGATGACCGAATATTGTAAAACAAAGCAAATCTCAAAAATTTAAAGAAGATAGCTGAATTAGATATTATTGCGTTAGGTTTTATTATGCGGATTTAAGAAACCGAAATGATAATAGAGAACAAAATATATGTTACTAATATACTATTTCTTGCTACAGATACATCGAGGAAATCTATTCACTGTTTCCGCTCCATAACTGAGAAATTTTATAAAAATGCTGCAAACACAAATAGACCTCATCAATGACGTTATTTCTATGTTTCGCTAGTTTCACTGCTACGATTGTGTTCGATTATGAAGCTAACGCGCATGTTGGCTAGTAGAGCATTGACGCCATGATATCTTGTATGTACGTCAGCATGATCCTGGTGACAATAAGTAAACACAGTCTTCTATAGGACACCAAAAACATCAGCTACACTAGACATAGATCATTTTCAAAGGGCGGAACCAATCAGTTCGTATTGTTCAGGTGAACTTAACGATAGACATCCCCAATTGCCCTCCCAGCTATCTCCGCGTAACTCTACAGAATATAAACCTTGGCCTCTCATTTACCATACTCGAAGGTAAACTAGAAAGTCAAACGACTTGGGTAACAAGCCCTATTTTGTCCGTGCAGCAACACGAATTAACAAATATTTACAAGAACTCATGATACATATACTGGAAACTTCTGTGTATTCTGAAGTTTGGCTCTTGCATGGTGTCATGTCGTGTTCGACTGTAAGCGGTTCCATGTAACTCGTTGCAAACTTGCTAAGCGACCCATACTCCGAATGGTACTGCGTACTGTAATAGGGTGAAAGGTGAAATTCAATGAAGACGGACTCGAGGAGCAAATAGTAGAGGCATGTTAGGTTCAAGTGTCCTGAAGAACCTATGCTGCTACCTGGCTGCGATGGACTAGGCCTTACCCGCCAACAGCTTAGTCAATAAATGAGCATGTAAGGAGAGAAATAGGATCTGGGGCATAGAAAGAGAGCAGAAGCAAACTCTCATGCCCTCGACGATAAGACGGATAGCCCGTGTCTCAACAAGGAACGGGATATGCTTTTCTGACTAACTGGCTCAGTACTCTGTAGAATCATCGCGCACCCGTTTCTCACCAAAACTAGCGTAGTTCATGTAGCGTGCACCCTCAACCTATCCAAGGAATGTTTTGTCTCATCCGAGCCCTGTTGATCTGATTGTCCTGTGACCAATTAGATCAACAGACTCCGATCTTGTCTAGCACAACATGTCTCGATGTCCGAAAGTAGCAGATTGACGCGAAAAAGCATTACAACTGATGTAAACTACTTCATTGTATATTATTTAAACAACAGTGCTGGTAAATGTATAGCAGAGATGTAGGTCGAATGACAAATATAAAGGAATGCTCAGAAAAAAAGCTACCGACACAAGAAGCATTTGCGTATAAAGTATCCAAGTATAATTTTCTAGCCAAACCCATATGATAGCAATTATCAATGTCGAGTGCGTGTTAGGTTTCATGCAACGTATATAGTTAACAGGGGCATTCTCGGAGACACGTGCGTCTTGTATAAGACGCATATATATATATATATATATATATAGACGTATAAGTTTTTCTGTATCCGTAGTCCAACGGGTGCGCTAGAATACACACCTCCGATTAATATAACTATTTAGGGAGCACAGGTAGAAACTTGAAACAGGTATGACCTCGAGGAACTAACCCTTTTTGATTGCGTTACTCCCAATTAGGTTTTAGAGACGTTATCAGTCAGTGCGCCCGCTGCAGCGCATGTCTAGTGATTGCCGTCAGTCAGACCGTCAAATCGTCAGACGCCTTAACCTTTCCTGCTTCTTTC